GGCCTTGATCTTCTGCTGGCGAGCAGTGTCACACGATTTGTTGAACCAGCCGTTGGACCCTGGTTTAGGAACTTTCACTGTGTGAGGGATGTATTCCTCCATTCCGACGTGGATAATTTCGGTTATTGAAGAACAGACAGTCGACGCATCCGCGTCAGTGAAACAGACATCTCTCCAAGGAAAGCTAGAGAAGAAATCTCTGAGCCCCTCCCAGTCGGCATGTCCGTAAAGTTTTGCGGCCTGTGCGAGTTTCTGCTGCCACAGCGGCTTCTGACCGAAACCTAACCTCCACAACACCGTGATCTGAGTTACCCAGGCGGTACAGGACAGCAGTGCTGTAAGGAGCAGGATGCGTGGTCAGAAAGAGATCCAGCAGGCTACTGGCGTGTGACGTGACGCGGGGGAAAAAAATAGGGCTCGTGACCTACTGGGTCAGCCCTTGAGAAAGAGCGAACGCTTCGACTGCACGACCTGCTGCATCGGTCTTATTTGAGCCCAACCAAAGCTCATTATGGGCATTGAAATCACCGAGAAGAACTACCTCTGAAGCGGGGTGATTGATGTTCAGGAAGTCGATTTGGACGGCGAGGTATTCGAGTAGGTCATCCCAGTTATGGTTCGAGGGAGAGCGATAAAGGCAGCAAATAAATTTGGGTGCTGTTTTGGAGTTGAGGCGAAGCCACAGAATGTCCTTCCGGTCTGATTCCAAAGAAAGATCCCTGGAGCAGGAAAGACTGCTGCGGACAAAAGCCACAACTCCCCCGTTCTTTCTCAGATTGGAGTGCACCTCGTAGTTTGGGAAGTTGAGATGGTTAATCGGTGCAGTCTCTGAGATTTTTGTCTCCGCCAAGAAAAGCACGGCGGGGCGATTGGATTGCAGGTAGTGATGAACAGCATCGATGTTGCTGTTGCTCCCGCAGATGTTCGAAAAACAAATTTTATCTTCGATGTTGTTCCCTCGAGCCCACCCTCCACCCGGACATTCCGGCATTGGCTAAAATATTCATTTTTAGAGCGTTAGTGAATTAAACAAAAAAGCAGTATAAAAACCGGAATGTCCAACTGATAAGGCTGACAATTTTTTCACTTGTTATTTACAGCAAGATAAATACATTCACCAACTTTTATTAAAATAAAACCATTTAAACTGGGTGTTCGGATTTATATGTCACTTACTACTACTTTCGTCTAGCAACAAAGTCACCAATCTTCCCTTAGCCTAACTGCCCTGAAGACACGTTTCAGTATGAATGCCTCTATGGCAAAACAAATTACCTAGTAGGAGAAATAAAAGTCAAATAAAGTCCAGTCCCACAGAATCGCTATTTAGGAATAACATTAATCAAATAAACTATTTCGCCGTTTCAAGCGGTATAATTTAACGACAGAAATTGTTAATAGTGGAAAATGCTCGCATTCGTACAGCCAGTAGGTATGTGTGAATTGGTGGCTGCATCAAATAAATGTATTCACACACTGTATTTTCAGTGTTCATTTATAACTATCCGGCTGTAACATAAATCAATGGACATGCAGCAGCGAATAGTGAGGCGCGGTTTGCACATTCATCCGGCAAGCACGGTTGATAGACGATACTACTATTCAACAGCTAACATATCTTTGATGTGATGTGCTCTGTACGGAATATTTGCGTTCTATTTGCTAGACACGTGTATTGCTATTTATCTATGAAAGCGTAATTCCTTAATTTCGATATCTCGCATTCACTATATCGTGTCTTATTCACCGTCAATGAAGCTGAATTGTCGAAATTACAAGTCCTGCAAAATAAAGCTATGAGAATAATTTTGGTGGTTGAATAAACAAAATTTTGTAACATATTTGGTTCTCATTTGATATTTAAATGGTAAATGGCATGCTTACTGGACCCTACTTTTTTCCACATCGACTGACCCGTGAAATTTATTCAGATTTTTTTCGTCACAATCTGCCACAATTATTAGTAGATGTTCCTCTAAATGTGAGACAGAATATGTGGTTCCTACATGATGGAGCTGCACCACATTTTAGACGAGAAGTCCATGAACATCTAAAAAATGAGTTTCTGAATAGCTGGATAGGACACAATGGACGCATTTCTTGGCCTGCTCGTTCCCCGGATTTAACGCTTTGCGATTTTTTTATGTTGGGCCATTTGAAAGAGTAGGTGTATCATGATGTAGCAATTTTGAACAGTTTTTGTAAAAATTTTATAATGATTTTTTAAATATTTGTTAATAATGTATCAACTCCCTTTGACGACTTCTAAAAGCCGTTAAAATAAATGACTCAACTTTGAAAGTTTATGTGAATCTTTTTTTGGGTCCATTGTATGCCATTTTATTTTATCTACCGCTGCTATACTTATTTTTCTTTTAACAATAAACGTTATTCGTATTATACTAGGTGACATATAAATCCGAACACCCAGTTTAAATGGTTTTATTTTAATAAAATTTGGTGAATGTATTTATCTTACTGTAAATAACAAGTGAAAAAATTTTCAGCCTTATCAGTTGGACATTCCGGTTTTTATACTCCTTTTTTTTTAATTCACTAACGCTCTAAAAATGAATATTTCAGCCGCAGTAAAGAATCAACGTTGGCAGATTTTGGTTCTTGACATCCTTTACGATCGGTTACGGTGCCTAGAGTACGGAGACCTGTACGATTTCGTCAACTTAGTGAGTTTGATAGGGGCCGTATAGTGGGACTTCGGGAAGCTGGACTTTCTTTTCGGACAATTGCAGTTAGAGTGCAAAGAAGTGTAGACACTGTGGTTAGGTGTTGTCAGGCATGGCTTCGAGAAGGCCGTACGCAAAGAGCAAGGGGCACTGGACGCCGCCGTAGAACAACAGACCGTGAAGATCGCCGCCTAAGATTATTGGCCTTAAGGGACCGTTTCTCCACTACCAGGTCCATTGCAAATGAATGGTTTGCAGAACACGGAAGACCTATTGGCATGCGAAGTGTTTACCGACGAATGAGAAGTTTTGGCTTGTTTTCATACCGGTCACACTGGGTCCTCCCTTTAACTCGAGAACACCGACGTAATCGCCTTGAGTGGTGCAGACAACGGTTACTCTGGGATCAGGAATGGAACAGTATTGTCTTTAGTGACGAGTCTTGATTTTGTTTAGGCATGCACGATGGTCGTGCCAGGGTTAGAAGGCGACGTGGTGAAAGGAGGAATCCACAGTTTTCTGTTGAAAGACATGTTCATCTCACTGTTGGAGTTATGGTTTGGGGTGCTATAGCTTATGGTTCCAGGTCACCTTTAATCTTTATCAGAGGTAACATGAACGCGCAGCGTTATATTCACGAAGTTCTAAAACCCCATCTTTTACCCTATCTTGACACCATGGCAGATCCAACTTTCCAACAAGATAATGCCCGACCACATGTTGCAAGAGTCACAATAGACTTCTTTCAACATAATGATGTCACATTGTTACCATGGCCACCAAGATCTCCCGACTCATCCCCAATTGAGCAGTGTGGGATATGATGGGTAGGAGATTGCTCAATTTGCAACGTCCTCCTCAGACTCTAGAAGCACCTCGAGAGGAGTTGGTGGTTGCCTGGAATGAGATACCACAGGAGGACATTGACCACCTGATCAGAAGCATGCCTAGGTGCGTTGGAGAATGCGTAGCACATCAGGGTACATCCGCACATTATTAAAGATCAAAGGGCTTTAAAGCAGTGCAATCATTTTGAAATTTTTATCATTTACTTATTATGCTTCATTAAGTACTTATAGAAAATTTTATTAAAATAAAACTATTTAAACTGGGTGTTCGGATTTATATGTCACTTAGTATATTATAAAAATTTATTTGTTTCATCATTTGTAACGACCTTTCCTGCACCTTGAACCACCCTGCCGTGCCATATTCAAAACAATTGCAACAACTATCGCCTACATACTTGCCTTGGTGCCAGCTTAGCTTTAGCAGACTCTTCAGTTATTTCGGAACGGAAGTGAAGGATTTTTTCGCGTCAGATCATTTATCTCTCCGGGTCTACAGCTAGCAAACATCCCACGTTCAGTATCGAAAAGTCCGTGATAAGCCCCTGACGTGTTCTCCCGCGCTAGCCTACCGAAAACTTTATTGAAAAACTAGCGAAGATCGCCGCTGACGCCCGGCCATAAATAGCAATCAAAACACGATAGTAAATTACAACCAAGGTCGTCTAGGGATAACGGGGCGTGCGAGTCTTTAGCGCAGTCATTTTTATCTCGAAAAATTTACTACTTACGAAAAATAAACGGTACCTACCAAACAAAAATACGGTCTTCTTAGAAGACTAGCTGGAAAATAGCCTAACAATCAAGCATCACTGAAAAGTAATTGAAGTCATAAGTTTGATCACACTATTATTGGGATTTCATCATTAGTGATAGGAATTTCTTTGCCTTGGGATTCTTATGTTTTTGTATAGGAATTCTTTTTGAGGATTTGTTTTTCGACTATTTCTTTTGATTTGTGCTGTACGTAAACCCGTAACACAGTTTTACTTCAGTTATCTCGTCTCGGTTGTTAAACCAACCGTGCTTCAATACCTTATACTTCAAGATTGTGCGTTTTCCTTTGGTTCTTTTTTGGTAAAGCTAAAGAATATGCCGAGGAGATTTTACTCTTCATTAAATTTTCGTTTAAAATTTTATCTTTAGTATCCAGAAATTCTAAAATAGTCTCAAAAAGTGCAAAAAATCTTGTCAAACATGAGCCTTTCGACAGCTAGCGTACTTCAGTGTGAAGGAGTAATTGATGAAAGTGTTCGTCATTTTCTTCACATAACTGCGCAAATAATCGCGTATTCAACGCGTTGCTTCGGACTCGGTTTACTGCATCAATGACTAAATGAAGTGATTCATGCAATCTAACACTCAAATTTTTAGCAACTAAATGTTGTCGATGGATGACGCAATGTATTGCTAACACCCCTGACACATTTTGTTTTAAATAGCTTATAAATCCACGATAACGTCCAACCATGGCAGGTGCTCCACCTGTAGCTACTGATATTATATTTGATAAAGGAATTGCTTTTTCGATGAAGTAATCCTTCAAAACATGAAATATTGATTCACCTTTAGTGTCGGTTATCAAAGTTCTTGCGAAGAGCAGTTCTTCGTAGATTTCTTTATTCATAATAAAACGAGCATATGTCAATAATAATGCTGCATTATCGGGTAAAGTTGACTCGTCCAGTTGTATAGAGAAATGGGTCGTTTGCAAATAATTACATAAGAAGCTTTCAATATCAGAAATCATTTCATCAATACGTTTTTCAACTGTTTTTTTGGCTTAAGGGAATTCTTTTAATGACATCAGATGCAGGTTTGTGTAAAACAGTTTTTAAAAGCTCTTCAACGGCTGGCAAAATTAACTTCTCTCCGATAGTATGCGGTTTTCCGGATTTTGCTATAAGTAACGAGATATTGTAAGACGCCCGCAAACCATCATCATTTCTTTGCGACGTCGAAGCGAACATTCTGTCCAGTGTAGGTCTCTTCTGAAATTTATCTTTGAGTGTTTGAAAGTATTTCAAATCTTTCTCTGTTTTATCAGGGTGGCATCTTCTCAGATGATCTTGCAGTTTAGATGGTTTCATAGCGTCATTGCCCAAAACTTTGTTGCATAAAAGGCACATAGGCGATTGTTTGTCCGGCAATGAGGGAATGAAGACAAATTTCAAATAATCAACACTGTAGTGTCTACATTTCTTTTTAGATTCGGACATGGCATCAATCATCTGTGGGCAAAAATAAATTATTTAAATAAGACAGAAAATCCAGCAGCTGTATATTAAAAATATTTTTTGATTTTTCCGAAAACATTCCATAATTCGAACATCTTCTTGCAACAATTAGCTCGAATTACGGAGATTGCATTGTAATTATACTACCGATTGCTAAAACTTTCAAAAAGAAACTATTGAGGAGTACTCGTTTAATTTTACATGATTGAATATTTAACTACTAATAACTAAAGTCATGATTGCCGTAATTTATCTATCTTTGCTAACTACGAGTACAAAACTAAAATTTAATAAAAAAGAATGTACTTACTTTTCTCCAGCACCCTCAAACAAAATAAGACTGACTCACTATAATTTGTGTGATATACTATCTGTTTATATTTTTTTAAATATTTTCTTAGCACTTTCCTTTTCAAGATTCAGGAAACGAATAAACGTATTTGTCCCACATTCGTATTTATGGAGTGACGAATTGAACAAATCAGTGCAAGGTAGCGAAGCTCTGAGACTGCGATTCTCAGGTTTTTACAAGTTCAAAATGTATTGCGACCACAAAGCGAATACCAACATCCTACAACTTACATAATTTTATAAACATATATAATAATTTTTTTACTACATAGGTACTTTTATAAATAATGTATATGCTTTGATATTATAAGATAGTATGATGTAAGTAAATAGGTACTATCAGTGTATGTGTTGAGATCCACTATCGTGGACCCCCATATTCATTTCATGGACACCAAAATTTTTTTTCGCTGACGTAGACCCCTTGCAGGTTGTCATAGACCCCTAGGGGTCGATATAGACCACTTTGGGAATCAAGGGTTGGGACTGGCTATTTGGCTGACTTGAGCTATTTAATTTGACGATTATACATGTTCTTGGTTAACTTTTCCCTAAATGATAACACAATTTCGTGGAAAGTGCATAGCCAACGATTTTTTTACGACGCGTTCTGTTTCTTTGTTACCCTCCGCGATTCTATCCACAGCGCCACGTCTATACCGAGGAAGGAGTTCGAGTGGATTAGGCGATTACACGGCTGACGATGGATCTGTCCATAGCGATCTCGTAAGCCGCGCCGCGATCTCCGCCGACGTACCCTCCTGTCATATCTGTTAGGACTGCTCCATCGATATTCTCAGCGCTATCCGGACCTTACTGCCGCTCGGATGGCAGTCCCTTAAATTGGATTTTGTTTTGACACGGCCGTTTCCGATCGCCGGATATGTGTAAGTGTCTCTACGTATATATACACGCTCCGTCGTTGTAACCCGGGGAGGTGTTTACAGAGGCTCCGGCGACGGTATAAAACGGCTCCGCGCGTATCCGAAATTTTCGAAGAGGTCTGCCTTCGGGTCAGATTGAAATAACTCGGTGTCAGTATCGGCAAAGGGTATATACTAAGTGACATATAAATCCGAAAACCCAGTTTGAATGGTTTTATTTTAATAAAATTTTGTATAAGTACTTAATGAAGCATAATAAGTAAATGATAAAAATTTCAAAATGATTGCACTGCTTTAAAGACCTTTAATAATGTGTGGATGTACCCTGATGTGCTACGCATTCTCCAACGCGCCTAGGCATGCTTCTGATCAGGTGGTCGATGTCCTCCTGTGGTATCTCATTCCAGGCAACCACCAACTCCTCTCGAAGTGCTTCTAGAGTCTGAGGAGGACGTTGCAAATTGAGCAATCTCCTACCCATCATATCCCACACGTGCTCAATTGGGGATAAGTCGGGAGATCTTGGTGGCCATGGTAACAATGTGACATCATTATGTTGGAAGAAGTCTATTGTGACTCTTGCAACATGTGGTCGGGCATTATCTTGTTGGAAAGTTGGATTTGCCAGGGTAAAAGATGGGGTTCTAGAACTTCGTGGATATAACGCTGCGCGTTCATGTTACCTCTGATGAAGATTAAAGGTGACCTGGAACCATAAGCTATAGCACCCCAAACCATAACTCCAACAGTGTGATGAACATGTCTTTCAACAAAAAACTGTGGATTCCTCCTTTCACCACGTCGCCTTCTAACCCTGGCACGACCATCGTGCATGCCTAAACAAAATCGAGACTCGTCACTAAAGACAATACTGTTACATTCCTGATCCCAGAGTGACCGTTGTCTGCAAGACTCAAGGCGATTACGTCGGTGTTCTCGAGTTAAAGGGAGGACCCAGTGTGGCCGGTATGAAAACAAGCCAAAACTTCTCATTCGTCGGTAACCACTTCGCATGCCAATAGGTCTTCCGTGTTCTGCAAACCATTCATTTGCAAAGGACCTGGTAGTGGAGAAACGGTCCCTTAAGGCCAATAATCTTAGGCGGCGATCTTCACGTTCTGTTGTTCTACGGCGGCGTCCAGTGCCTCTTGCTCTTTGCGTACGGCCTTCTCGAAGCCATGCCAACACCTAACCATAGTGTCTACACTTCTTTGCACTCTAACTGCAATTGCCCGAAAAGAAAGTCCAGCTTCCCGAAGTCCCACTATACGGCTCCTATCAAACTCACTAAGTTGACGAAATCGTACAGGTCTCCGTACTCTAGGCATCGTAACCGATCGTAAAGGATGTCAAGAACCAAAATCCGCCAACGTTGATTCTTTACTGCGGCTGAAATATTCATTTTTAGAGCGTTAGTGAATTAAAAAAAAGCAGTATAAAAACCGGAATGTCCAACTGATAAGGCTGAACATTTTTTCACTTGTTATTTTTACAGTAAGATAAATACATTCACCAACTTTTATTAAAATAAAACCATTTAAACTGGGTGTCCGGATTTATATGTCACTTAGTATAGTTGTACCATGACGAGACAGACAAGGCGGATTAAATTTTTATTTATTTATTTAAACTCTCACAAACACATTTGAATGTAGTTTTACATGTAGGAGTGCTTACTGGCTAGTAGAGAAACAGAGAATACACAAAAACTTATAAGTAAAAAATAACGGAAAAGAAAAGCTATAAAAATCAACAAACAAATAAAATGAGATACGCATGTTTTACTTAAATTTAAAATCATATACGGATGAAAACTATGGGCCTTTAGAATCCGTTGGACAGTACGTCGACTATCACCACACACAGTCTCCAATTTGCGGGTACTTAACGTAGGATCTACATAAACTTGCCCTAGAACCCCCACTTCTATTGCTTCGTTCCTTATGGGATTTTCAATGTTGCGTTTTTTATTGGCGACTGACCCAGTTTCCCTAAATTTAGCTACAAGTTCTAGAACATATTTTCGATGCACGTTACTGTTCTTATGTCGCTCAATAAATATTTCTGCTGTTGTATTAGCGCACTGATTATTTCCGAAAAATATTTCGATAATCTCAACTCTTTCTGCTGTGGAATATACCATGGCTAATTTATGTAATAAAGCGTTACAAGTTATTTTAGCAACAAAGTTTGTTCAAATCAATCGCAAACTATGTACTAAATTCCTATTTAAAATAAGTACGAGATATTTCCTTCTCTTTCTTCAAGAAATAACTTTTTTGGCACAAAAAAAAACGCTCCAATAGCTATTTTCAACAACAAAATGATAAACAAACCATGGGCGTAGTGAAGAAAAGCATTTACTTATTAAGTAAATTCTTTTAGTCAAATTTCCTCTGAAAGTAGTACAAACTAATCTGACGTACCTATTAAAGTCTACTTTAAGCTTTAAATCAATAAATCTTCAAAACTACTGAACTGAAGTACATTAATTTTATATCATTATAAAGAGAATTGAAAGACCTTTAAAATAAGGTATCACTCGACCCCCCTTTCCATTTGAGATTTAAAGGTTGGTGTCACCCCCGCCCAGGGGGCTGCACGTATTAACGTGATTTTTTGCCAAACTTGTGTCCCCCTCGAAAACAAAATCAACGGGTCTGAGCGTTTTTACAAAAAAAAAACTGAGCTGTTAGTAAATGCGTATATATATATATTAATTAAAAGATAGAGGAAACAAACCGCTATTTATTTTAAAAAAAGGCGTGGCATGTTTGGGGATGCATGATGGCCATTCAAGGGAGAAAAGGCGAAGAGGTGAAAGACGAGATTCCCAAATTCTGTGGAAACGCACACTGTTGAAATTATGGTAGACAGAATTACGTCCATGTTGAAGACAATCAAGCCGATTCGTCGCCTTAGCCCCTAGATCTCCCGATCTATCACCCATTGAACGTCTGGGACATTGTGGGAAGAATACTAATTCGAGGTACAAGTATCCTGGGATGAAATACCTGAAGAGGAAACCGATTTTATCTGATTAAGATGTGTCTCTGAGTGCCTCAGACAACGTAAAGGTCCAACAGATTATTGGTTTTTAACTTTTTTTTTAAACGGTTGAGTTTTTCTGAAATATTAGTTAATTACTTACCTAACCCTAATAGATACGTATACAAAATATATCCAAAATTACTTAATGTTCTTTTTTCTACATCACATAGTATATGTGACAACAATTCACAGCTGGCGATAATATATTTGGGTAGAAACACTCAACTGCGGCCACGCAAATTGTTATCCATCTAAAACGTTGTATTCACGTGCGGATTGGTGGATGTTAATATATTTTATATTCGCGCACTATATTTTGCAATTTCATTTATGGTTTCGAGGGTACGCGCCAAATTAATGAAGATTTAGCGAATAATAGGGCACGTACACATCAATCAAGGGGGTGCACATGGGATACAACAATATGATCGACTTTTTGTTTGCTGACACAGCATTTAATTCCTTATCAACTATTAAGTAAAAGACTATTATAGCTTATAGAATTTAGACTTTTTATATATTTTTTCAAATATTAGTTGAGTAGATTGTCCAACGACTAGACTCCGC